GCGTATGTATATTTGTGTTTGTATATGTTTGTATGTGTATTGACTGTGTGTGTGGTGTGTGTGTATGGGTGCACTGTGCATGTGTGTGCATGTATGTGTGTTGAGTGTGTGTGTATGTGTATTGTGTGTTATGTGTGCATGTGTTTGTATGTGTGTATTTGTGTTTATGTGTGTGTATGTACTTGTGTACGTGTATCGCGTGTGTGCATATGTGCGTGTGTGTGGCGTTTGTGTGTTTGTGTATGTTTGTATTGAGTGTATGTTGTGTGTTGTGTGTGTGTACTGTGTATGCATGTCTGTGTTTGTCATGTGTACATGTTGGTGTGTTTGCATAGTGTCTGTGTGTATTGTGTATTTGCGTGTTGTGTGTTTATGTATGTGTATTTAGTGTGTTTGTGTTGTGTGTACATGTATGTGTATAGTATATTTATGTGTTGTGTGTGCATGTGTGTGCATGTATGTGTGTTGTGTGTAAGCATGTGTGTTTGTGTGTATTATGTGTTTGTGTACGTGTGTTGTGTGCGTATGTATGTGTACATGTATGTGTGTTTGTGTATGGGTGTATTGTGTGCTTGTGTGGTGTGTATGTGTGTAGTGTGTGTGTGTGTGACTCACTGACTCACTCTGACCCTGACTTTCTCCAACGCCTTCCTTGCCCAGTGCCCCGAGGGGTCTCCCAGACCTTTCTCTCCCCTGCAATCTTATCCTGGTGTACAACAACAACTTGAGGGGGTGTCACTCGTGGGAAAAGCCCTAATTCTGAGAGTGTCCGTGTTCGTCTGTGAGCTGACGAGAGAGACCTTCCCGACCGTGCACGTGCTCGGGGACAGCTCTGGCTGGCAGGAGGCCCTGGTGCAGGGGCCTTCCGGATGGGTGGGTCTCTCCCTCCCCCGGAATCTGGGTGTAACTCTCTCCCCGGCTTCCGCCCTTGAAAGCTTAGGGACTCCACCTCCAAGGTGTCTGCGATTCAAAACCACACAGGGTGACTTTTCTCCAGTTTCAAGTTCATTTGAAATCAGGCAAATCCTCCTCCCTGGGGGAGACTCTGCCAGAACTTTCCGTGTCATCCGGCCATTTCTGAGGACGAGAACCAGCCTTCGAAGCAGAAGGCCCTGGGTGAACGCTATCGCGGAGCCCGTAGTTATTTTAATGTAGACATCACTTTAAACTAACCTTTCACCATCTGTTCTGTCCTCTAATGACAAATGCGGAAGCGCGTGGGTCTCCGCGGCATCCTAAGGCGATCGGCGCGGCGGAGGCCCGTCTGTGCTCTCTCTTCACGGCCCATCGTGGGCTTCTGCGGTGTCTGTCTCATTTGCCAGACACAAATCAAGGGGAAAACTGCTCTCCCCTGATCTGGTGGATTCACTCGCACAGTATTTCTTCTTAATATGGTAAATTGTGGGAGAATTCAGAGCATTTTGAGAGCCGATGCTCAGAGCCCCTAGACACACACCACACCACCCGCAGCCGCTCACTGCCCGCCGTATTTCAGAGGCCGCCAAACGGGCCTGGAGAATAAGCAAATGTGGCCTGATGGCCAAAACGTAATGAGTCTTCCTTGAAAACAAAATTCTCTTTAAATAGGTGGTGGATTTTTTTCTCCTCATTAAATTTCCCTGTGAAGAGGGATTGGTTCGTCCACGCTATAGTACACAGTGAATCTGTAATCCATCCTTCCGACTGCTGCAGGCCCCAGCCCTCGTGCCTACAATCCATCCTTGCCTCCCCGTCCCTTGCCTCCAGAAGACCGGACCTGGCTCCGTGTGTTCTCCTCAGCCCAGTGCCACTCAGCCACTCGAGGGCCTACTGTGTGCTCCGAGTGCCCTTCTCCTAACCCAAGGCCAAAGCAGCGTCCATACCCATCAGCCCTCGGAGAAGCGCCGAGCTCCAGGACGGCAGGACTGGTGGGCTCCGTACTCCACCTCAGCTGCCTGCTCTCCTGGGAATGTGTTCTCTTAACCTTTCTCCCACCCCAAGGGACAAGTCGTTGGAGGGGACAGGAAGGGGCGTTCCTCCCCTCTGTCTAGACGTTGCCCCATATACCCTGGTGACCAAACTTGGTGAAAACTCTCCATGGGTGGAGAAGAGATGGGCCTTGCCCATGGAAGGCCTGCAGGAACACCGTTGCTGGTGGCCTTGGGCAGTAGAGGGAGGGGTGATTATGGCTTCGTGGGAGGCTTTTCCCGTCGACCGCTGAGGGGCCCAGACCCGCCCTTCCCTCGGTCGCTGTCTCGGAAGCCCTGCTTGGTGTGTGCGGCTCAGGGCAGAGCCCAGAAAGGGCCCTACCTGATCATGGGAAAGTAAGGAGGTGCCTTGCGGGGGCGGAACAAAGATGCTCCTCACGGCCTGCGGGTGTGTGCACATGTGCACAGGAGTGTGTGTGAGTGTGTGCGCATGCACACACGCACCACAGGCCTGCAGGCCTCCTCTCCTGGCGGTGTCTCCCAGCACATGAGCAGCCCCCCATTGGCACTGACCCCCATGGCGCCTTTATGATGGAAACAGCATCTCCCTCTTCCTATACGGAAAACAGCTTCTTTGCTATTACAACACAAGACAGTCTTGGGGCGGCCGGTGTGCCGGGCACCGCGCTTCTGCACATAGGAACAGCTCTGGTGTGCAAATGCTAAATGCTGGTTTAAGAAAGATGTTCTCCATCAGGCTGAATTCTCTACAAATTGGAGTTTTTCCAGGGGATGACTTGCTTTCTTTGATACGAATTAAGCTGGAAGGGATACTCTATCAAACATGCTTTGAGCCTCTCCGAAGGCTCGCCCATGATTGGCATCATGCTGCAGAGATGAGATGCCTGGTGAGAAGCCAGCCCTCTGTCTCCGAGATAAGTGCTACTCAGGCACGATGAAGCAGGCTTGGAAGTCGCTGCTGCATCTGCTCGCTGGCATCTGCTGGGTGTGACACCGAGGCCACACGTGGGGCGGTTGCAATGGTCACACTGTGTGTCATCAGAATTCAGAATGCATCTGCACTTCAAGGTCTGCAAGCTTCATAAAACCGAGGGGGCTGCTTTTTCTCTCTTGTTCTCTGCTCTGGAAAAGTTTCAGGAAATTCCAGGGCAAGCTGACCTGTCTTGAGCTCTTTTAGGAGGAATTTCCTGAAGTCATATGGTATCTCCAGGTGTGTGTTCTCTGCTAGTCAAGTTTAAATTTGTGTATTTTCTCAAAAAATAATCAATTTCATAACAATTTTCACCTGTGCTTGCATAACATATAGCAAAGCAAATGCTTTTAAAAAAAAATCTTATCTTTTTTCTCTGACGTTTATCAAAGACGCAGCAGTTTCCTGAGGACGTTTCACCTAACGACAGCTCTGGAATCTATCGTTGTCCCGATTTTTCCGTCTTCAGATTCTTTCTGTGTCATATCTATTGATGACTTTGGTGTCTGCTGCTTCCTGCTTTCTCGTTCCTTTCCTTGTGGGGTTGAGCGCTTGGTTCATTGGCTGTAATTCCATTTTGATTATGAAAACATTCAAGGTTATGGGTTTGCAGGGACTCAATCTCTGGGTTTCACTGTATCACAGTCACATAGTTATATTATTATTAAACAAAAGAAATATTTTTAAAAGCCTCTAAAAATAACTTTGGTTCCTGTTGACCCAATGGTTATTTTGCAGTGTCATTCAGGTTTCTAAAAGGTCTTTTTTCAGTTTTATTATTAACTTTTAATTGCATCATTTCAGTTGAAGGTCCTAGTCAGGCCGAATGCGGCAGCTCACACCTGTAATCCCAGCGCTTTGGGAGGCCCAGGTGGGAGGATCGCTTAAAGCCAGAAGTTCGAGACCAGCCTGGGAAACATAGTGAGACCTTGTCTGTACAAAAGAATTTCAGAATTTAGCCGGGCGTGGTTGCCGGCACCTGTAGTCCCAGCTGCTCCAGGCTGAGGTGGGAGGATGGCTTGGGCACAGGAGGTCAAGGCTGCAGTGAGCTATGATTGCCCCACTGCACTCCAGCCTGGGTGACAGAGTGAGACCTGTCTCTAAAAAAAAAAAAAAAAGTCCTGTTCCATTTTGTTTTGGGGGTATTTTGGGGGGTTTTCACTGCGGCCCACTGTATTATGAAATGTGATGGTCCTGTGGACTTTGAGAAAAAAAGTCGTGTGGTCTAAAGACACGCTCAAAGTTGAATGCAAATCCATTCACTCCACCTTCTCGATTTCACCTTTCAAATCCCCGTGGCCTCTCGCACTTCCCTGAGGGACCCCCCGGCTCTGGGAAGCACCGCTCACCTGTGGTGGGCTGGTGACCACCAAGTCCCCCTGCCCATTACAGGAGGTTTCGCCTCAGTGGAGCGAAAGACGTGCATCTTGTTTTTAATGCTACCAGGGTCCTTTCTGTTTCTCCAAAACTTGTGTGAATCTCACTCTCTGCTCAAAAACAAAATGAAGCCTTTGCCTAACCCTTCCCCATCCCAAGTAAAACTCCGAGTTTCGTGTCTGCCTATGTCGTTCCATTTCCTCCCCCAGTTAGCGGCCTTTTCTAGCTTCCTTTGGACTTGGGACCCAGATAACCATCATTAAATTGTTTTCTAAACAATTAGAAAGGCTGGGGCACACATGCATTGGGTCCTAGTCTTTTCTCTCACTGTGGAGGTTCCTCATTTTCTCGCCTTTGTCTCATCCTGGGTTTGACGTCAGAACATGAGGCCATTTTACACCATCATTTCCATTGTTTTCACCTGTGCTGCGGATGTCTGCCAGGCGTCCCGCGTTCTCGGTGTGTTTGCTGAACTTGGAATATTAGACCTGCCCTTCCCTGTTACTGACGGGCCCTGGACCTGCCGTCGGCAGCTCTCAGTAAAACCCTGACTGTCAATCGTCCTTCCAGTTCCCAAAGTGGACGAAAGATCAGCTGTGGTCCCCATCGTACCTCAAAATGGTCGAGCTCGAGGAACTCATGGGAGGGGATGAACGTCAGAGGTAGGGCCCCGGGCCTCACCTCACCACGGTCTGACCTCTTTTCGCTGTGCTCCTGCCTTTCAGATCCGGTCCGACAAAGACAATGACATCCCCATCCGGTACAGCATCACGGGAGTGGGCGCCGACCAGCCCCCCATGGAGGTCTTCAGCATCGACTCCATGTCCGGCCGGATGTACGTCACGCGGCCCATGGACCGGGAGGAGCACGCCTCTTACCACGTGAGTGTCCACACCCAGGTGGGAACCGGGCCCTGGGGTGGCGATCTCAGCCCCACCAGGCCTTGGCAGGTGCCCCCAGCTGGGCCATGCCTGTCCTAATTCTACAGGTAGCGCCCCAACTTTGACCTGGAGCAGAATCCTGGGAAGCTGGGGAAAGTCTAGGTTGCTGGGCACTGTCCCCCGTCTCTCCAGGGTGGGCCCAGGGCAGACCTGGGAAACTGCATTTCACACACTCCCCAGGATGCAAGTCAGGCCTGGGCCCACACTGGGAGAACCAGTGGTCTAGAAGGCCTCCATCCAGCTGGTCTGCTTTGGACGGCTCTGTGGGGCAGGGAGTCAGGGAGCTGCAATGCTCCCTCGGGGCCCCTCATGCTGCCCTTGGCCCCTTTCTCTGAAGCACGGCCCATTGTCCCTCCCACCCTCTCCAGGCTGGGACATGCGTCCTGCAGGCTTTTCATTTCCTCCGACGTTTCTCGTGGCAGCAAGAGCCTCTGAAAGGAGAACCGCTCTGGTTCCCTGTCGCGGGCTGTGCACGGAAAGAGGTGGGGCTGCGGCCTCAGCTTCCGGGGGGCGGGCCTTCTCCTCCTGGGCCGAACTGACCCTGACTGAGAGGAGGGGACCTGGGCCGCAGTGAAAGCAGCGGCAGGTGCACATCCCTCCACCTCAGGGTCCAGGGCTGTCCATCGTGTGTAGGTGAAGGCTGCACCGGCAGCGCAGAACAGGCTGGAGCCAGATCGCGAGGGTCACACCCAGACCTGCCCCTGGCCAGGTGTGAGCTCTTGGGCAAATGATGTCGCCTCTCCTGGCCTCAGTCCCTGTTCCTCCTCATGGGCTTGTTCTGAGGACTGCAGGGTTGACCCGGGTGAGGCGTTCAGCACAAGCCCGTGCTGTCAGGGCCATGTGCTCCTCTGTAGTAACTCGGGAACAACCATGGAAGACTCAGCCCTGCCTGGCAGTGTCACCTTGCTCAGCTCTACCTTCGCTGGGCTTCAGCCAGTGGCACCGAACAGGGCCCAACCCTGCAGCTTCTCACATCTGCAGCTATTTGTTTTGGGGTTCGTTCTTTCCATCTCACTCTAGAAGGAGGCTGCACAGGGGCAGGGATCCTCCAGCTTGTCCACGCCAGATCTCAGGGCCAAGAACAGAGCCTGGTCTTCGGGGGACTCACTAAGCATTCAGAGAAGGGAGGGTGTTGATGGGAGAAGGTCGGTTTAGCTGTTTGGCCACAGGGGCCTCCCTGACAGCCCCTGAGGCACCGTCTGAAGCAGGGGCAGAGCTGGATGGATCCTGGGGAGCCCACTTGGGAGGTGGCTGCCCTCACCCCCATCTGCACTGGGGCCTTATCAGTCCCTCACAGCTGCCTCCTGGGAAGGCTCACACCTTGGCTGGGTGGTGGGGAGACCCGTTTGACAGTGCCTGGGCCTCGTGTGCTGGGCCCTCCAGGAGTGGCCGGGGCAGAACCACAGAACCAACCAGAGACTCCAGCTGATGCCCACAGACTGTGCAGCAAGAGAGTGGCCCTCAGCATGGCCGCTGGCTCCCACAACGGGCTTTGGGCTGCCGTCAACACGCGTCTACAACAGGCTCAGGAATCGGAACTCAACAGCCCTTACTGCCAAGAAATAGCTACAGACCAACGACTTAGGGAGAGACACAGACGCATGCACACAGAGACAGAGAGGGAGACAGAGACACAGAGAGAGACATAGGAGACAGAGAAGAGACACAGGAAATACAGAGACGGAGACATAGAGACAGGAATAGAGAGACTGACCGTGAGAGACAAGAAATACAGAGACAGAGACACAGAGACAGGAATAGAGAGACTGACCGTGAGAGACAGGAAATACAGAGGCAGAGACATAGAGACAGAAATAGAGAGACTGACCATGAGAGACAGATTCAGAGACAGAGACATAGAGGCAGGAATAGAGAGACTGACCGTGAGAGACAGGAAATACAGAGACAGAGACACAGAGACAGGAATGGAGAGACTGACCGTGAGAGACAGATTCAGAGACAGAGACATAGAGGCAGGAATAGAGAGACTGACCGTGAGAGACAGATTCAGAGACAGAGACTTGACTCCAGCCTTTGCCAGATCTCGATGTGGGGCAGGGGAGCCAGTCCTTCAGCTCTGTGAATTCCTGACACGTGTTTCTGTCTTGTTTTTTTAACCAAGGCAGACTTGGAGCTGGGTCAGCCCACTTCTCCCTGGTGTGGCATCGCAGATGCAGCCTGTGGGTGCTGGCTGGGGCATCTGAGGGGCACCAGGAGTGCTGTAGGGCTACCAGGTGCCTGTTGCAGGAGGACTCAGGGCCCAGCGCTTGCTGAATGCACAGTGATTCCTGGGTGACCTGCACCAGCAGGAGGCCTCCTCCTTCCATTTCATCTTGTAATTCCTCCTGGAAATCTGGAGCTCAGAGCTGGCCCTCCCTGCAGCATCCCCAATGAGCTGTGTCTCCTCCGTGGATTCTCACCAGAGGCAGCCTTGGCATTTCCACCGACTCCCCAGAAAAGGTTTCAGGGCTCAGCTACCTCTGCACACAGCACGGCTAGGGGACAGGGACCTCCAGGGCCACCGCTGGACAGTGCCCCCTCCATGCACCTTGAAGCCTGAGGCACAGCCTGCAACCCAACCTGGGAGCTCTGCCCACAGCAGGGGTCCAGGTGTGCAGGGCCAGAGGTTGGAATGGGCACTGCGGGGATCTGGGTCACCCACCCCTCTGTGATTCATTCCCAAGGTCCTCCTCTCATGCACAGGTAGAAATTTTCAACCCACCATGTGCAGAGACAGTAGCTGGCACTGGGGAGGAATCCAGCGCCCCCACCATCTCCTGCCATGCCATGCAAATACACTGTGTAAACATGTGGTGCAAACACGCTGTGTAAACATGTGGTGCAAACATACTGTGTGAACATATGGTGCAAACATGCTGTGTTAGCCCTTTCGTATTGCTGTAAAGAAATACCTGAGGCTGTGTAATATAGAGAGAAAAGAGGTTTATTTGACTCACGGTTCTGCAAGCTGTACAGGAAGTGTGGCCCCAGCATCTGCTTCTGGGGAGGCCTCAGGAAGCTTCCACTCATGGGAGAAAGCGAAGGGGAGCAGACGTCCCACATGGCAGGAGTAAGAGAGAGAGAGGGACGGAGGTGCCAAGCTCTTTAAACAACGAGCCCTGGAGTGCACTCAGAGCAGGAACTCATACATTACCACGAGGGATCCACCCCCATGACCCAAACACGTCCCACCAGGCCCACCTCCAACACTGGAGGGCACATTTCAACATGAGATCTGGAGGGGACAGAACATCCAAACCACCGCACACATCTCCATTCATCTGTTTATTCTTTCTGCCTGATGCATATGCAGAGCCTTGCTCAGCACCAGCCTCTACCCAGGAAAGGTAGATGGTCCTGCAGCAAACCCCCAGAAAGATGGGGGTCACAGGCTGGTGGGGACCAGGAACCTGGGTCCCACACCTGCAGGGAAAGCTGAGGTGCCCCCGAAGACTCCTGTCCCTCACCACGGATGCCCTGAGGCCCCCCGCACTCCCCACCTGAGCTGGCCGTGGAGGAAGATGAGGGAGCCCAGGCAGGGGGTGGGGGGAGCTGCTGGTGAAAAGTCAGACCCACCTGTCCCAGCCACCCTCGTGGCTTGTCACTGTGCAGACACTTTTGCACACATGTTCCCTTCCCTTCTTTTGTTTTTCTTTTGTTTGTTTTTTGAGACAGGGTCTCGCTCTGTCACTCAGGCTGGAATGCAGTGGCACAATCTCAGCTCACTGCAGCCTCAACCTGCCAGGCTCAATCCTCCCACCTCAGCCTCCCAAGTAGCTGGGATTTTTTTATTTTTTTATTTTTTGAGACAGAGTCTCACTTCGTCAGCCAGGCTGGAGTGCAGTGGTACCATCTCGGCTCACTGCAACCTCCGCCTCACAGGTTCAAGCGATTCTCCTGCCTCCGCCTCCCAGGTAGCTGGAACTACAGGCACCTGCTACCACACCCAGCTAATTTTTCTGTATTTTTAGTAGAGACGGGGTTTTGCCATGTTAGCCAGGCTGGTCTCTAACTATGCCTCCCAAAGTGCTGGGATTGCAGGCGTGAGCCACCGGCCCATGTTCCTGTCTGTTTCCTGCCTCAGCCCTGAGGCTTCATGGTTTTCTCCCCGCTTTGAAGATGAGAAATGCAGTCATCCCACATCGCCAGCGTCTCTCAGTGCCTCCTGCACACCAGGTTCTAGGAGCAAGCTCGTGGAGATCATCAGTTTTTATCATCCTCATTTCCCATTTTCAAGGTGAGGAATGGTGAGCCCTGAGATCTGGCCAGGCTCCAGCCTCCTCACCCTTGTAGGGACGGCAGAGTCAGCAGGAGATGCAGGGCCCAGACTGGAGAAGAAACTGCATCATCTGCCAAATTCTGGAATGAAGGCCTCGAGTTCCACGTGTAGCTAATCTCTGTCTTACCGAGATGGAGGCCTTGGGGACGCCCGGCTTTCCTGCCCTTCCCTGCAGAAGGAAGCCCCTCCCTGCAGGCATCGCAGTCCTCATCAGACTCCATTGTGAATCCAACTCTGGATTTCCACCTTGTAGGATGCTCACCAGGGTCTTTGAGGGCAGCTGTGCCAGCCAGCAGGGGCGTGTTAGTTCTCTGCACTGTGTAACACATCGGCACAAACTTAGTGGCTGAAACCACGCCCTATGAGTTCACCGTGCTATAGGTCAGAAGTCAAGATGGGCTTGGCTTGTGTTTCTGCTCAGGGTCTCACCAGGCCAAAATCAAAGCGCCAGCCAGCCTGGGCACTCCCCCAGCCCTGGGGAGAACCTGCTTCCAGGCTCACTGGGGCTGCAGCAGGTCCAGATCCTTGTGGTTGCAGGACTGAGGTCTCCATGTCCTTGCCGGCTGTTCGGGGGGCCACAGCCACCCCCGAAGGGCACCTGCATCCCCGGCACGTGTCCCCTCCACCGTCAGCCAGCGAGGTGCATAGGATGCCCACATACCCCTCTCTCCTGCCTGCAGCTGGGGAACGCTCAGCTTTCGAAGGCCCGGGTGGTTGGATGGCGCCTACCCAGCCCTGTCTTAAGGTCAAAAACGTAGCCCAGTGGGGAGGGAACACATCTGTCTTCACATCTGGGACCAGTGCCTGACATCCTTGGGGCCATCTTAGAGTTCTTCCTGCCTCCCCAGTGTCCTTGGATCCTGCTCCATTTTCCACCCAGCTCTGTGGGCTGAGGGTGGGGAGGACGCGTCGCCAGCCTGAGTATGCTGAAGACTGTGACACATGTCACCCTGAAGCCAGCCTGTAAACATTCAAACACACAACACGCACGAGTGCTCACTGCTGGCTTTGCAGGGCGATGCTCCAGAAGATTCCTTGAAGGATTCCATCGGTTGGACACACTAGCTCACCCAGCCACATGCTGTCATCTTCCGAAAGAAGTTTTCTCAGCTTCCTGAGCCTCAGTTTCGTCCTCTGTAAGATAGGGACCAAGACAATGCCAATCTCACAGATTCTGATGGAAACTGGAGTTAGCGTGTATCAGGTTCTTATAGCACTGCCTGGCCCTGAGCAAACACACCGTGCGTGTTGGCTGCCGATGTCACCGATGAAGAAAGTCTCCAACACCTGCACCCCTCGGCCACTTCCAAGGGCCCCCATGGACTGTTCCCCGTTCCATACTCCTTGGAGGGAACCTGCATCCACAATTAAGATACGAAGAAGAGGCCAGGCGCGGTGGCTCATGCGTGTAATCCCAGCACTTTGGGAGGCTGAGGCGGGCGGATCACGAGGTCAGAAGATCGAGACCATCCTGGCTAACACGGTGAAACCCCATCTCTACTAAAAATACAAAAAAATAGCCGGGCCTGGTGGCGGGCGCCTGCAGTTCCAGCTACTCAGGAGGCTGAGGCAGGAGAATGGCGAGAGCCCGGGAGGCGGAGCTTGCAGTGAGCCGAGATCCGGCCACTGCACTCCAGCCTGGGCGACAGAGCGAGACTCCGTCTCAAAAAAAAAGATACAAGGAAGAGAGAACAGCCAAGAGGCGGGAGAATTAGATCCCACATACATCTGGACATTCATCTGTCAACAGCCACATTTCCCCCAAGCGGCTTCCCAGCCCGAGGCCAGACCATACCCACATATTAATATTTTCTAATCTTGTCTCCCAGAACGAGGATAGAAAAATGTCCTATTCAAAATGTTGGAGGAAATGCGCTGTGCCTGACACTTGGATTTGCAGGTTGCAGAATGCTCGGAGGATTCCTCCACCCATGTTTGCCTGTTTCCTCCACTGCCACGGCGAGATCACCTCTCTCAGGCCCGCCCTGGGTGTGCCCAGCCTGAGAGATGGGCAGCGGAGATTTCCAACAGGAGCGTGGGACAAGGAGGACACAGGCCACGGGCAGAGGCCGTATTTCCTTGTTATCTGCACTCGCACTGCTCCTGCTGCTCCAGATAGCACCTGGAACTGCTTTAGTTGGGAGATAATAACTTTAATTTTAGCTCAGAATTACTTTTTTCCCAAGGCCTTGTGACCTTTGGGCGTGTGGGAAGCGTGTCCTACAGCAGGACGGAGCTGCAAATGGCTCCGGGATGGAGGAGTCTGCCCGCGACGAGGTGGGGGCAGCTGGATACGACAACCACACAGCACTTCAGGCTGTTTAAACAGGATACGTAAAGCTGACTCAGCGTGCGTGCGGTCACATCGCGCGTGGCAGTCTGCAGTTCCTCCAGGAGTCAGGCCTAGTCTGTCTCCTTACTACAGGACGGATTGCCTCTTTGGGTAAAGCCAGCCTCTAGATCTTCCTTAAACATGCCACGTAGCGGGTAAAATTCCACTCTGGATTGTTGGAACCCAACCAAAACACTAGTGCGGGCATGGACACAGTTAGCTCCCGGGTTTCCCTGGGGCAGGCGTGGAATGCAGGGTCCACCCCGTTCCCCTGAGGTCGTGGGAGTGGGAGCGGCCATGTGAGGCAGGCCACCAAGGGGATGATGTGGAGACCCGTCCGGCATGGGGCTCCTCTCCCAGCCACCCTGGGCTTGATGACGTTTTGCTGCAAATACCTTGAGTGAGGTGTGTTGTGTCCAACTTCAAGCGTGATGTGGGGTTTTGGTAGAAAGATGTGAGCTGAAGACATCTCTGGGTGACCGTCCAGCTCTGGGTGGAGAGGCCTCAGACATACCCTTTCCATTCTCCGGCAACCCCTCAGCAGCCCCCTTGCCTGCGGCAGTGCCCAGCCTCTCCGTGTCCTCTGCCTTAGCCTGTTCTTGAGGTCTCAGCTCAAGCAGCCCTTCCTCTGAGAGGCCTCCCTGGCGGCCACCACACCCACTGATGGCTTCTTCTCTCCCTGGTGTCCATTGTCCGTCGGATGGAAGCTCCAGGGCAGCCACATTGCCTTCAGTGTACAGTAATCTAGGGTCCAGCCCAGCACCTGGCATTGCAGGCCCTTGATGGGCATCTGCAGAACAAACGAATGAAATTACAAATCCAGAACTTAAGGGGTGACTCTGAGAAGCTCCTGCAGAACCTTCCAGCCCAGGTTCAGCTCTTCCCTTTTCACCTCAAAGGCGATTCCTGTGACATTCCCAGGAGCTCCACACTGGCCTCCCAGCCCCGCCTCTGCATGGATCCCCCCACCACCCATGTTCCCCTGCTATGTCCAAGAGCTGACAGGGCATGCAGATGCAGAGGAGCCTGGAACTTGTCCAGGCTGGACTCTCAGTGGACACCCAAATGGACCCAATTCCCAGCTCCAGCTCTGACCTCTCTGCACACCCTGGCCTGTCTCCTCCCCATCTCTCCTGGGGACTAACCTCACAGTAGCAGGAGTTAAGCCCCCCACTCAGGCGCAAATGCCTTTTCTGTTGCCACTTTGGGTGGACATGACCCCATCCAAGGGGCACCTGTCCTGCTCCAGACATCTGATCAGAACAGTCGGTGGCTCACAGAACAGTCGGACAGGCGTGGGAGGTCCTGGGTGGGCCTGACCATGGGGTGTTGGGGGGTTATGCTGTCTTCCAGCTCTGTGTGTTGCTCCACTCTGCACTCTCCCGACCCCGTTTCTGCAGAGGAGAGAGCTGAGGCTCGGAGAATTCCACCACGTGCCCAAAGCGCCCCGGCCCCTGTAGCTAACCTGCCTCTGCCATCAGCCTCCCACCCCAGCACCACAGGTCCCGGGCCGCTCTCAGCTGAGTGGGGGTGCCCACCCGCCACCGGGCCCTGATGTGTCTGTGCTGCTTTCCAGCTCCGAGCCCACGCTGTGGACATGAACGGCAACAAGGTGGAGAACCCCATCGACCTGTACATCTACGTCATCGACATGAATGACAACCGCCCCGAGTTCATCAACCAGGTCTACAACGGCTCCGTGGACGAGGGCTCCAAGCCAGGTGAGGCCTTTAGCGTTTGCTTGCTGGAGACCCTGTGGGCTCTGCGGGCACAGCACAGGCCCCGAGGGCTGGGGAGGGCTGCTCAGCCCCCACCACCAGGATGGTGCCACAGGACTTAGGTGCAAACACAGGCGTGCAGCAGGCGTCCACCAAAGCCCCTGCTCTCAAAGGCTTCAGGGTCAAGGGAGGTGCAGAGCACAGGGGAGAAGCGATTGCGGCCACAGCAGGGCCGACAGGCTGGGAAGGAAACCCGGGCACTGGGAGTCCTGGGACAGTGGTGGGCCCGGGCAGGCCCCTCTGTGGAGCTGGCGTGTGGTCTAGGAGTTGAAGCCTGAGGTGGAGCAGCTCCCGGAGTGGGGCTGGGGTGGGCTCCTGGGCAGGCGGAGAGGCTAGGGGAGCAAGGTACACATGCCAGGGCCCTGGGGAGGCAATGAGGTCAGAGGACTGAGGCCACTGGAGACCTCCCGGCTACACGTAAGATTTGGTTCCAGTCAAAACGGGAAGCGAGAGAGGCCCAGACTCCCCCCGCAGAGGTGATCCCATGTGACTGAGGCCATCTGTTCCCCTCAGAGCTGACCTGAGAGCCTGTCCCCCGACACTTCACTCTGGCACAGGTGGCAGTGCCTGCTTTTTCATGTGTGGGACCCCAGCTGAGTGCGTCATGTCTTGCATCTCTGCCCTCTGTGACTGCCAAGAAGTGGGAGACCCCCACCAGCAGTGAGGAGGCTTAGGCCCTCAGTAATCGAGGGTCCAGCCCAGCACCTGGCATTGCAGGCCCTTGATGGGCATCTGCAGAACAAATGAATGAGTGAAAAACAAATCCAGAACTTAAGGGGTGACTCTGAGAAGCTCCTGCAGAACCTTCCAGCCTCAGGGCACACACAGGTTGGAACCTGGGTGTCCACATCCCCACAGGGCTGGCACAGCCTCCGCCTGCTCATCCAGATGCCGCAGGTGGCCCAGGTCTGTGGGTTAACAAACCCCAGGGGCCTTCTGTGGAGGGGGAGCAGCTCCCCACTGTGGCTGCCTCCTGCGTGGGGAGTGGAGAGGGGTCCTCTTCGGGACAAACCTTTGCCTGGCTTGGGTTGGGTCGGGGGAGGGGAGATCACTGAGGAGACCTCTGCTGGGGTTGCCCCTAAAGTACAAGACAGCAAGTAAATGTGAAGTTCAGAGAGACAGCAAAGCACTTTGAAGTGTGGCCCAAGCACCATGTAGGGCGGACTTGCACCAAGAGAGTAATCCTTGCTGATATGAACTGCGAGTTCAATGGGTGTCCTGTATTTTCATCAGCAGCCGCACCCCTGGCCAGTGCCCAGCAAGTGACAGCTTCCGGGCTCTACAGAAGTTGGCAGTGCCGGGCAAATGGGAGGCTGTTTCTGCATTGAAATCCGGAGCACATGGAGCCCAGAGCCAGGGCCAGCTCCCAGGGGCACGACACACCCCTGCAGGCCCCCAGGGAGGGGTGAGCAGCATCCCGGCTCTGGGACAGGAAGGCAGGCCTTTATCACGCCTGCTCGCAGAGGTGGCTGCATGGTCCGCCCCAGGGCTACAGTGTGAACAGGGTGAATTGCACACTTGGTCCACCCCAGGGCTGCAGTGTGAACAGGGTGAATTGCACGCTCGGTCCGCCCCAGGGCTGCAGTGTGAACAGGGTGAATTGCGTGCTTGGTCCACCCCAGGGCTGCAGTGTGAACAGGGTGAATTGCATGCTCAGTCCACCCCAGGGCTGCAGTGTGAACAGGGTGAATTGCACACTTGGTCCGCCCCAGGGCTGCAGTGTGAACAGGGTGAATTGCGCGGTCCGCCCCAGGGCTGCAGTGTGAACAGGGTGAATTGCGCGCTTGGTCCACCCCAGGGCTGCAGTGTGAACAGGGTGAATTGCATGCTCAGTCCACCCCAGGGCTGCAGTGTGAACAGGGTGAATTGCACACTTGGTCCGCCCCAGGGCTGCAGTGTGAACAGGGTGAATTGCGCACTCGGTCCGCCCCAGGGCTGCAGTGTGAACAGGCTGAATTGCGCGCTCGGTCCGCCCCAGGGCTGCAGTGTGAACAGGGTGAATTGCGTGCTTGGTCCCCCCCAGGGCTGCGGTGTGAACAGGGTGAATTGCGTGCTTGGTCCCCCCCAGGGCTGCGGTGTGAACAGGGTGAATTGCGTGCTTGGTCCGCCCCAGGGCTGCAGTGTGAACAGGGTGAATTGCGTGTTTGATTGGTTGTCTTTCAGGATTATGAGACACGGGTGTGTCCAGTGTCACCAAAGGGAATGAATGTGATATTATCTCACTGGAACCATGGGCAGCTGGTCCTCAGCCATCCCTTGAGGGGCAGGCAGTGGGTGAGCAGAGCAGCTCCAGGCAGCCAAAGAAAACGGATGAGGACATGGGAGCCCCTTGCGAGGGTGCAGATGTGGAGGAGTGGGCAGCAGGCCAGGCATGCTCGTCACACAGACACCACTGGCCTCTCTCCTGGAGACCCAGGATGCTATTTAAAGGCACCTGGATTTTCCTGTCCTTTCTATCACAAATCAAACCTCCCATGTCTTACTTTTTAAAAAATCAATAGCGAAAGTCTTCCCAAAAGCACAACTGGCTTTGCTCATTAAGATAACTGAGTAAATTGTGGAGCCGTGGCCTCAGAAGTCCATGTCAGCCCTTCTTCCCACCACTCCTGAGCTTTTCCAGGACTGTGTTGAGTGAAATGTCCACGGACTCTCAGAGCCCCTGGGGGATCGGGAGTCTGTTTCTGGTCCCAGAATAAGCTGTCTTTGTGCAAAGGCCAGGACGGAGCTGGAGGTGATGTTGTCGAGTCCACCTCGGTCACCCCGGGCAAGGGCGGGGAGAGATGGAGTCCACACAAAGCATGGCTTGCTTCTCTCAGTGGCGGTCTTTCCAGGACTTGGAAATCATCTCTACAATTTCTTCTCTTCCATCAGTAAATTACAATAATAGAAGGGTTCTACACAGTGCCTTTGTGGGATAAGGAAAAACTACCGCCAGAAATTAGTCATTATTCTCTGGAAGGACAGGCTAATGAAGGGTTTCAGATGCGCGTTCTAATGGAAAACAAATGGAAAGATGGGTTAAATATTGACTCAGCTCCAGAGGAACTTGGAAGGCTTGGGGAGTTCGTCTGGGGACATGAGCTCGCCAGTACAGGCCTGGGATCCATGAGGGTCCTGTGTGCCCCCCACACTCCTCTCCAGACCCCTGGGATCCACAAGAGTCCTGTGTGCATCTCACACTCTTCCCCAGCCCCCCAGAATCCACAAGGGTTCTGTGTGCACCCCATACTCTTCCCCAGGCCCCTGGAATCCACGAGGATCCTTCATGTACCCCACATTCTTCCCCAGCTCCCCCGGGATCCACAAGGGTCCTGTGTGCACCCCATACTCTTTCCCAGCCCCCCTGACTTCATGAAATCCCCTGGGGCACTGCTGACCTGCTCTGCTGGGCTCAGAGGGTGTGGCAGGCGCCGCGGCAGGCCCTTTTGTGGTTGGGGTGCAGAGTGAGATGCCTTGTTAGTCAACAGGATACAGATCCCATCCCAGGGGCTCCCAGAGCAAGGGGACCGTGACTGGGAAGTGCAGGCGGGGCTGGCAGTGCCAGGTGTGGCAGCGCCTCTGGCTAAGATGTGTTTCCACAGTCTCCCTGCCGGTTTTCATCCCCACCCTCCTTTCTCCTCCGAGAGATCCTCTCTGCTACAGCCTCTGTGGCCTTGGAGGCCGAAAGCTTGTTCCTCAGCAGCTGGACAGCCCCGGGGTGAGGAGAGCGCGTCTTTACCAAGAGTCCCCGCGAAAGTCCCAGGGCAGGTTCTCGCAGGTCTCACTGCCCTGCCCCTGCGTCCGTACGCCTCCCCGGGGCAGAGGGTGGCAGCCTGTGGCACACAGCCAGGGGACACCCTCCATCTCCATGCGTTCCGGGCTGTCTGGGATTGTGGGCGGCACGTGTGCATTCGCCATCGAGTAAGACGGGGCTCCAGGAAGTGGGCGTTCCCACCGAGGCCATCAGCCCGGGCTGCAAAGTGACCCTAAGCCTGGTGAGTTCCGATGACAGGAGAAGGCCCTGCTGAGTGATCCCTTCGGCCCGATCTGCAGAAGTGACCCTAAGCCTGCTGAGTTCTGAAGGCGGGAGAAGGCCCTGCTGAGTGATCCACAGACCTGTACCACAGACGTTTTCCATGAGGAAATCAACGTTTGTTTATTTCAAGTTCCCCAGAAAATGGAACCAAAATCAGCATTCCCTCCAACAAAAAAACAAGGTCTACCTGAAATGACGGGAGGGCCGAGGATTTTTGCCCAGTTTCCAGCGGGACCTGAGGCCCATGGAGGTGACTGGGGGCCCCCATGGGCAGGAGGCTGGGGTCTGGCTTCCCAGCCCTCACTCTGTCCACCCAGCCTTCGCCACTTTCGTCTGCTGTGTTGGGCTTCCCGATGGGATTTCACTGGAAGAAATGTCTTCTCAAAAAATATTTTTATTTTGAGATAATTGTGGAGTCACATGCAGTTGTAGGAATAAGACAGACGGATCCTGTGAGCCTTTCAGCCAGCCTCCCACAAGGGCGATATCTTGTAGAACCACAGTGCAGGGTCATAGCCAGGAAACTGACCTTCGTACCAGCCACAGCCCCTACTCACATCCCACCAGACTGACCTGCATTCATTGGTGTGTCTGTCTGTGTGTGTCTCTGTGTGCATCTGTTTGTGTGTCCATGTGTGTCTGTGTCTGTGTGTCTCTCTGTGTGTCTGTGTCTCTGTGTCTGTGTGTGTGTCTCTGTGTCTGTGTGTGTGTCCGTGTCTCTTTCTGTGTGTCTGTGTGTCTATGTGTGTGTGTGTCTCTGTGTGCATCTGTTTGTGTGTCCATGTGTGTCTGTGTCCGTGTGTCTCTCTGTGTGTCTGTGTGTCTCTGTGTCTGTGTGTGTGTCTCTGTGTCTGTGTGTGTGTCCGTGTCTCTTTCTGTGTGTCTGTGTCTGTGTGTCTATGTGTGTGTGTGTGTCTCTGCGTCTGTG